ACACACAGGTGGACCCTTTTGAGTCATTAGCAGTCATCAGGCAACTTCTGAATGCAATTGGTTGATTCATGTAAAATTTTGCTTCCACTTCACAATTGTATACCACTTTGTGTTGGTCTTTCACATTAAATTCCAGTGAAATATATTTATGTTTGTGGTTGTAATGTGACAAAATATGGAAAAGTTCAAGGGGTATGAATACTTTTGCAAACCACTGTACCTATTGACGTGTTACAGTATTCTTTCTTTGTATTACCCTTACAAAGGCTTGCAAAGGTATTCCCATCTTGATATTCTCGTTATTTTGTTGTTTCACAACCTGGCTCTAAATGGATTGGACCTGCACGAATTACTCAGCGCTATGTGTACTCGGTTACCAATCAATACGTTGTAGATGTGCTCTTTGCAGCAGTTATGGCAGCAAGTCTACATGATCTTGATTCATCAAACCAACTGGATTGTTTGTACGTTCTTCATGACCAAACTGCCTCAACTTTTTCAGGTTCTGCATGTTCAGCTATCTTGAACCGTGTGTTTAGGGTCATTTTCCTGCTGGAAGATAAACCTCCATCCCAGTCTCTAGTCTCCAGAAGACTCCCAACAAGTTTCCCTTAAGATTTTCTCTACATGTTGTTTCTTCTGCAATTCTTTCAATTCTGAACAGTTTTCCTATCCCTGCTGATGAATAAACATCCCCCCAGTGATGCGGCCACCACCATGCTTCACTGTAGGAGTGGTGTTCTCAGTGTGATGAAAGGTGGTAGGTTTGTACTGGGCTGTGCCGGTTACGTCTCTGCCCCGCACCGAAGGTCGTCCCATTTCGTGGGACAAATGTGGCCTTCAAAAGCCCGAAAAACAAGGGATGCATCTGACTATCTTCCGCAGCCCATGATATTCCAGGATTCATTGTTTGGAAAGTCATCATGGATCGAAGACTATAAGTTTATCATCAAATGTATTTTTTCCAGCCCTCTTCCATGAAGCTCAGCTGTGCAGCTTATAACGTTCTTTTGAACAGACCCTACCATCTCTGCAGCTTGATCAGGGTTTATATATAGCCTCCCAGAAGTCTCTTAGGTTGAGGCTGTCCTTGTTCAGTTCATGAGTTTTTGTGGACGACCCTTTCTTTGCTGGTTAGCAGTGGTGGAACTGGCTTTACATTTGTTAATATTAGCAGTTTAAGGGTGCTCTGCAAGATTTATGTTTTATACTTCCAACCCTGATCCGTTCTTCTCACTTTGTCTCTGACCTGTGTGGAGCGTTCCTTGGTCTTCATTACGTCTGTTGCTTGGTGGTAGCTCTAACTACCTTAGGGTGTTGGTCTGGTGTTGATCCAAAGATCATTTGACCTTTAGATTCTCTACAGATGGTTCTTTTTTAAGCAATTGCCTGTTTTCTGAAAGTAGTGGTTGCGGTATCAATGTAAAAACACTTCATGTTTGTTTACTTGAAGCCTTTCTATTTTTTAGGTTTCCCCCCATTTCAATAATCTAAAGCATTGAACAGTGAATAGTTCCATTGTTTTAAGGAAACTGAACCAAACAAAGAGAATACCAAAGTGTCAATACTTTATTTATGAGGCTGTTGGGGACAGAATTAGAGTTGCCGCAAACAATTATTTTTATAGTCGACTAATCACCGATTATTGTCCTGATGCATCTCAGTAATCCAGGTAAAAAATCAAAAAGAAAAAAATGTATAGGTCTTCTGGACGGGTTCTTCTCTAATGAAACGTTTCGTC